TCATTCGGGCAACTACTGGGATATTTACAGAATAATCGAGTTGGAAAGTGATTTTCATCTTTGATCTCGTCACATTAATCTTCTACGTTTTGAAATGCAATTACTTCGCGCAGTAAACTGTAAAAAATCTAACATTGTTTGATGTCATCAGTTGTCTTTAATCGTGGCTAGGATAGTTTGAAATTTATGTTTAGGAACATACGTATCAATTTTTTGGAACGAAATTTTATTGCAGATTTGTTTTCGAAATTACTGGAATAAATGACAGATGTTTTAAAATCTTGTGAGACAAATTTATCTACCACGGGAGAAAGGATAAGTTCTAGAACAGCGGTGGCCGACCGATGGTCCGTGATAACATTTTGCTGGTCCGCAAAAAAATTGGGACATTATTTATATTTTTATGAAGATTCAGTTTAAAAAATGACGAGTAACAAAACCTACTATGGAATATGGATTATACTTTTTTTTTAAATTTTAGCTACTACTTTTAGCGAAATTCTTTCTGAATTTAGCGACTTTGGTGCTACTTTGGTAGACGGTTGCACGGATTTTTGGAGATTTACGTTGGCGCAATTGTTGGCGCGATTTTTACAATCGTCAGCCATCTTGAAAAACGCTGTTTTTACGCATAGTAAAGTATTCGAAACTTAAAAAAAAAAATAAATAAAAATAAAAATAAATGAATATCGTTAAAAGTAATGGATTAATTTTTTGTTGAAAATGTCTTTTTTTTAAGATGGCAGGCAAGTGTAAATAAGTACATTTACTATGAGTATAAAAGTACTAAAAGTAAGGCTATTATTTACTTTCATATAGCAAAAAAGAGAAGAATAAAAAACACCGCTATAAAAACATTGTGCCAACGTTTTAATTAGATTAAAATATTACTGAAATTGAATATCGAATAAAACCATCCTACCAACATTTAAAGAATTAGAATATATTAATTCAAATACTTTAAATAGTTTATAAAATATAATTAACATTAAACATATGTGACAATAATGATCTCTCAGCAATTTTTGAAAATAGTGTATTAATTTTTTTAACAAAAATTGAAGTATACAATTATAAAATAAAAGAAAAAATATGTACTTACATTTTTTATGAGTAATTAACTCTCTTGTTTATTGATAAGTACCACAAAAAAATCGAAATCATAATTGAATCGGATCTTTTAACCATCTTCATCTGTTATCCAAATATCTCGCACTTCATTGAGAAGCAAGCAATTAGCGAGGTTTCCTCCAAAAATTTCCTCTGACGCTATTATTAACAATTTATAAATAAATCTTTGATTAGGAAAGACAGGTTGGCCAAAATAAAGTCTCAAAGGGCAATTTTTTTTATTCCAATACCAATAATTCTTGGTAATTACCAATAACAACCATTCGTCTTCGAAACGGAGAGATATCCATTCCATTTGAAATCCGAGGAATTCGAAGAGATGAATAATAAAAAATTTTAAAATGGCGCGGTAATGCACAAAATATTCAGTAACCAATCAGGGAGCTGATTACATCACGCATAGAATTAAAATTATTTAAATAATCATTTATAATAAAATCAATTTTAACCCAAATGCAAAATTTATTAAATTTATTTTAATATTTAACAGCCATAAAATAATGTTAAAAAACATTAGATTAAATTTATGATTATTAAAAAACCAATTACTTTTAAGTAAGGTTGACGTCATTGATTACATCATCCACAACATAAAATTATATAAAATTATAAAACAACCCAAATTTTTATTGCAAATTAAAGTAATTGCAAATATGCTACATATTACAACTGAATTTTTTAGTTAATAAATACGCTATTGTAGTCGTTAACAACACAGTTTTTCTCCGTGTCAGTAAGCAACTTGATGGATTTTGATGAGAACCATCTGCATTCTTGTTTATAATTGCATCACTGGAAGTTTCTGTCTTTGTTTGTCTAACTGTTGATCGATGGCGCCATTGCTGAGTAGGATGATTATGTTTACAATAATTAAAAATTGGCGGCATAACACTATCGGTTTATTGATATTGCTTTGCTTCTGCCGATTTGTTCTTGGTTTTTGTCAAGTTCATTTTCAGTGAAATGGAAATGTGAAGCTTTTTGTACAAGTAGGTAAGATTTTGCACTTTTCAAGTAATTTTTTAATGTGAACGAAATATGTATAGTTTGCTGATTATTATGTATTTACCTTTTTTTTTTTAATTCATAGTAGTGGTTCGCCAAATATAAAATTATGGTACTTTTCCGTTTCACCGGCGCAAATCTCGCCAAGCAGACTTTGTTGGCGACAACATGCAGTATACACATAAAAAATGTTAACAAATGTTAATTTTAAGAATTTTTATTTTGAAGGCATAAACATTTTAATAGGGTTTAAAAATTTGTAAACAGCCAATAAATAAAGACAATAAATTTCTAAAAAGACATTAATTTAAGAATTTACTATGCTTTCATGGTTCAAAATCCTGATTCGCCAGTTCGTATCACGTGACCCCAAGCGATCTCATGTAAACTACGCTACAAAAATCTAATTCTCTTAGTAATTATCTACTTAATTTCAAGTTAAGTCTTAATTTGGAATACAAGTTTAAATGCAAGAATTATTTTAATTCGTGCGAGTAGCTTACTCATAAATTATGTAAAACCGCAGTGCTTTACTTCGCTAGTGCATTTTCATTAGAATGGATGAATTTAACCTTTGATTTTGCCTTTTCTATATTTTCGCGTTCGGATGAGCGGTGTGATTGCATTCTAATTAATTGCCTTAACTACCGCGAATTGTCTTAGGGGATAAATTTCAACTATTTTGTAAAAATTCTATGTAATAGTATGCCAATACTGAAAGAAACAATCAATCTGATAAAAAAATGTCTGCAACTTGTTTTGAAACTGAGGCGTAAAAGGTTACCAGCGAAGATATTCCGTTTGGCATCAGTTGTACCATTATTGGCGACTTTAGCGTTTGCGCCGGCAAAACGGAAAAGTACCAAAATTATATATGTAGTGGTCCGTGCAGTTCTAAGGTTTGACGACGGCTGTTTTCGAAAATTCATCCATCAGCTTTACATCGCGACCATCTCCCTAAAACAACCATCTTGGCAAAACAGTGTAGCGTCATTACATTGTTTTTGAGAAGGAAATGTGATACACCAATGATGGCTTCACCAGGACTCCAATACCAGATGTTCCGCTTGCTAGCCGGGCTATATCAACAATACACGAATAAAGTACGAAAGACACGCGGTAAGGCAGCACTAAAATTCCTTATTTTCGAACCAAATTAAAGAGTGGCTGGAGAGGAGATGGTTGTCCTAATTGACAAATCGTAGTATTGGCAAATCCGGACTATGTTGTAACTGACAAATCCAGGTGGAGACGAATTATTGTCTATCACATTTCAACTCCTGCGCCAATTATACCGTCATCAGGCTCATTTTTTTCAGGCTCATTTTTTTTCAGAACTTTTGAAAGTGAATCGCGAATCGGAAAACGTAAATCAATTACTGATTCAGGAATTCCTCCATTTTGTAAAAAAAAAAAAAAAAATGACTGAAAAGACGTATCACTGCAGTGTCTCATCCACGCAAAATAAAAATTCGCATACGTAAGGAACACAATAATTCAATGAATAATCCTGCAGTAATATTTGGTAGTGTCACATATGAGTCTCGCTTTCTGGAATGTGAAGAAAATGGGAATATTGTGATCTAAATAATTAAGATATAAGATTTCTTAATTTCTTTTTAAAATGATTTTGCATGTTTCTAGATTATTTTGTTCTGCTATAGAAGCAATCGCCGTATAAAAGTAATATTAAATTACAGCATTTGTTTATGGTTTTGGAAACACTGGCTGCTTTGAAAAGAGAACACCTTGTAGAAAAGATTCAATACATGAAAACGGAAAGTAAGTTTATTTGAAATCTGTAGTCTTTTAAACCGAAAAGTTGGTCTACTTTTGCAATTGTAACAAATCAAGAGATTCGTCTTTGAAAATATAAAGGGTATCCGTTTTTTAAGCAGATAGCTATCATTGCAATTTTATTTAACCTCGAATGCTAAATTCGTCAATGATGAAACAACTGAGAAGTATGTAGATTGCATCTTTGAACATTTATTTACATTTTTATATACCGGGTGATCCAAAAGTCCGTTAGCATTAGAAAATTTAAGAATATTATCGCCCTGTGTTATGTTTAAAGAAATTAAACAATAAAGATTCTGCATAAACGCATCTATGTTTCTCGCATTATGATAAAACAACGGTATCTAGAACTATCAAATTTTGAATATTGAACGTTTCCATCCGAATATGGGCACCTGAAAGCCCTAATTTGGTATTTGGAGTTTGTTTTATTATTGATTTCATATTTTGTAACACTTCAACGAATTTTGGATTAAAAAAACTCAACGATTTCAATGCGTACAATGGCAACACTGTACGGAAAAACAAAACATTTTTATCTCCAGCGCGCGAGACTGTGTATCGGAAATTCTTAAAATATGCTCATTTTAAAATTATTTTGCGATATTACTGTTGAATTGAATTTTATGGTTTAAGTGCGAAGACCATGATCTTTATTAAATAAAGGTAACATAAGAAACGTTAAAAAAACGCTTCTTTGTGCGCAATATAAAATATGAAAGCTTTCAGATTTTTTTGTTTAATGTGTAATGTTGTTTTTAATACTTTACTCTATAGCCAAGTCCTGTTTTTCATTCGTTTTGTTTTAACTGAGCTGTGTCGAAGAGTGTAGAAATGATATGCTCTGGAGGAGCTTTCCTTTTATTGAATCTTTATTGAGCCATAAAATGAAGAGAGAGAGCTTAACGGGTTTCATAAATTTCACCATGCAGAAGTATCGTCTGCTGTGATAAATTGCTAAATACGGCAACCCTGTGCATGCCTTCTAATTTTAACCGTGATCTCCAGCACCTGTTTTCTTGTGGCACAAGCTCCTTCCTCCCTTCCTGCAGTTGTAGCAGATAGCCACGTACTGAAAGTTGCCAAACATATAACGCTATTCTATCCTTCATTTAAAAAAACGTATTATCAGTCAGTCGATAAGAAGTGTAGAAGGAAAAGAAAGAAACGAAAAAAAGGAACAGAAAACAAATTATTTTTAGAAACATGTTTTTGTATCAATTCTTCTTCTTTCTTTTGTTTGTTTCTCACATTCTTAAAGAAACGGCAAAGGGTACGAAAAGACGAATGTGTCGAAGCGGTAAGTCATTGTTGCTTAAAAATTTCTCTTTTGAACCTGGCAGGGCTCATTTTTCTGTCATCTTGAACGAGTGTTCTCCATTAAACTCTTTTAAGTTCGAAGTAGAAAATGGGACCGTGATATACGTATATACACATAGCATTAATCGTTAAGTATACAAAGGTCATTCGGTTATTTTTGCTAATTTCTTGACAGCAACTTTTTTATTATTTAAATATCATCTTTATCTTATATTATGCACTCAGTCATCTCAGTAGTATTTACAAGACTCCAAAATTTCCATTTAATAGCAATAGTTCGCCAATTTTTACTTCCTCCTACGAAGTAAAGGAAATATTGTAATTACGAAGTATTACGGGCATCACATTTCAACAAAAATATCCATTTTGATAGCTATCAAATGCAATTTAACAATGTTTTTGCATGATATCTGTACGTAAGGACAGAATAAAGGACTTTATTTCTCCAAAAGAATTTAAAACTGATTTAAAATGGATCCAGAAGTGATTTTTGCGTGGCGTGTGTAGGTACGTATGTATCTCTCATAACTCAAAAATAAGTAGCTTCAGAATGTCGAAATTTTGTGTAGGACTGCTACAGCATGTAGCTGTGCACCTCCCTTTTTGGATGTAACTGGATGCACCAAAAGTATATAAATATAGATATATATATTTATATCTACTCTGTTACTCGGCTCCGTGAGCTCGGTTATTTTTAATTCTTATATGTTGGTAAATTACGCATTTGCTTTAAAAATGATTGAGTTATATTACTCGTATCCTCTGGTTAAGGTTTTTACGCCTTTAGTTAATCTGCATGCAGTAGTTGTAGAATTATCAACAATTTAAAAGTTATTTAAGTGCGGCTAAGCCTAATTTTTTAAGCATAGCAGCCATATTTGTTTACGTTTGAAACTGATCAGAATAGTGCATTAAGTCAGTTTCTGCAGCTTCAGTGTCTTTTTGTCTTTTGAATTTGATCGAGACCAAAAGTAAACTTCTAAAAGTAAAAATTAGAGTTCTGTGCACCGAAAAATCTGCCTGATTGGCCACTGGCCGAATACCTTGTTTTTGCGTAGAATCTATAATTTTAAGTGAAAAAAATTGTTTTTTTTAATTGCCTTAATTGTATTTGGTATTTTAGATTTTTTTAATAAAGATATTTTGTGGTTTTATGTATTTTTGCCTTGCCATGAAGTGAGATCTGAATTAATTGAATGAGAAATATATCCCTAATGAAATTCGAGGAAATAAGTTTAAATGAAATGTAGCAAAAGATGCGTATAATTTAGTATTCCGTACGAGGAAGTCATGTGGTGTACACATAAGATTTTTAATTTTCTTTTATTGGCCTATATTTACAGTGGCTCAGATTTGTTTCCGGAAACTTGTGTTTCTAGTAGTATGTCAGTTAGAAAATTTTGCCGAGAAGATTTCACTTTCTGTCTCATATATTATTGATCTATTCAAAACATTTTTGGTAAAAAAATAAAGTATTGATAAAGTTCTGAAAGTGAATTCACTTTCACTCTGAACAAACAGTTTATCTCTTTATAAATAAAGAAAAGTGTCCATGTGTTTGCCTTTCGCACAGATCTAAAGTTTCATTGACCCTCAAAATAAAAGTAACAAGATTTCTCAGAAAGCGGTCTTTATGTACATAATATTTTATAATTTAATGAAATTTTGATTTTAAATTCAACGCTTTAAAACTTTATGTTGCCATTCTGCAAAGCGTGAGATAATTATGTTTCAGATTTAATCAGAAAACTCGGCGTTATAAAAACAGTCGGAAAAATGCAATATGTATATTTATATACTATATACGCTCAGGACATTTACCTTAGAACATTGTTGTCACATCACACACCTTAGGTGGACATCGCCACTGTTGCTTTCCCACTATCAATGGAAGTTTTATACCCTAAGCAAGGAATTCATATTTTTTTTAAATAAATATTAAAATGTGTACATAGTTTCAATTTTAAAACCATGTCACCTCTCTTAGGTTCACGTCTCTGTTGTTGCATTCCCGCTATCAGTTTTCACTAAAATCGTTACATGGCGCAATGTTAGTTTACTCTTTAGAACGCTGTAGTATCCTAAGCGCTAGACGTATCAATTTTTTGCGAATAATTCCAAAAGAAATTGGTCAAAATGGATGATTATTTGAAAGCTGATTTTAAAAAAACAGGGGGGGGCAGTTCTACATCTCCCGTTCTACTGGACCTATCGGCAAAATTCAAATTGCGTTTTTTATGTCTCGAAAGCGCGACTTAGGATATATATTAGATTTATATGTAGCATGTTTCTAATATAGGTATTTTGACACAAAATCAGGCTTTTTCTGAAATGACATGCCAATTGTTTTATATACTTCGATTCTACGACTCAAATTATGCGAAACTGCCAAATTTTGTAAAAATCGCACGAGTAGTTTTTAAAAAATTAGCTCTCAAAATTTTAGCTCCTCGATGTTAATTGAATTTGATATATATTTATTAATATTTCTTTTTATTATTAAACTTACTTGATTCTTTTTTTTCCAGAACTCGAAATTTAGGCTCAATCCAAATATAATTCTCACATTTATTATTATTTATTTTTAATTTGTATTTTTAAATATTTTTTATAAATTTTTCTAAAACACGCTTATATAATAACCTATAAATTTTTAACATCACCTTAAAGTAGATGTATTTGTAGGCACACCTGAAAATAATTTAGAGTTTTTTATTCAAAATTTCCTAAGATATACATGAATTTATATATTGGAGGGTTTTGAAATTTGGCATCTTTTTTTTTTTTTTTTTTTTTTTTTTTTTTTAGCGATAATAACGCCAAACTATCATACGCACTTTGTTAAAATTATTTGAAATAACGAACAATGGACATTTTTCCCGCTCGTCTACAATGAAAAAAAGAAAAGGAAAATAGGTTGCTATAAATTAAGAAGTTTCCCAAGTAAATTATTCTTGGCGGAAACTGAAAAAAATACGTCAAAATAAATTAATGAATTTCTCCGTAAATTTCACATCAAATTTTACAAAATTAAATGTTTAGGCATAATTCGAGTCGTAGAATTGAAACATGTAAAAAAAAATTGGCATATCATTTCAGAAAAAGCCTGATTTTGTGTCAAAGTACCTATATTAGAACAGTGCTATATATAAATCTAATATATATACTAAGTCGCGCTTTCGAGACATGAAAAACGCAACTTGAATTTCCTTAATTGGCACAGTAGAACGGAAGATGTAGAACTGTCCTCATCCCCCCCCCATCGCAGTGTAGCTTCTCAGTAGAAGTGATTGATATTTTCTGTCCCTTATTTCAATTCACCGCACACTTTTAGAAATAAAAATCGTGTAGATAATATTTCACTATGAACCACAGCTCTTATCGTATTACATTCATAAGGCTTTATCCTTTAAACATTAGAAAGATATTAGGTGCAGCGAAGTAATGCGTTTGATGATGCTAAAGTAAGTTTGTCATTTTTTTTTATTCTTTGATATACAGGGTGATCTTTTTTAAAGTGACAGTGTTTGGAGCGCCCTGTAGCGCAATCTAATAGCCGAAATGGCACCAAACTTGGTATTTAGACTAATCACGACATGGGAAAAAGCATTCCGTGAGAAAAATTTTTAGTTCCAAAAATCACCGCTAGGGCATTTGTGGCGCTGCTGTAGCTTACAATAATAAGAATTAGTATAAAACACGGGTATCAAAGACCCGTGTTTTATACTAATTCTTATTATGATGTTGTTGTGCAATGTTGTGCAATGACAGCGCCAGTAATAAGGGCTATAAAAGCAAGTAGACAGCTCCGACAAATAATCTCAGCTGAAGTAAAGCCTTTCGCATAACCGGTGGACAAGCCTCTCGCATTACCGGAACGTGCGTTACTGGTGAAGCTGGTATTACATGAATAAATGTAATGCATCCGCAGCTCTTATGCTGCTGAATGGTCTTAAGAAAATCATTAAGAAGTTCGAGGAAACGTGGTCACTGACCATTCGCGCTGGGAGAGGACGTAAACCAGTGTCAGAACATGTAATAACTGATGTGGCAACTGCAATTGTCGAAGAATCGCAGGGAGCCGTTGCTGGTACTAGCAGCGCCCGGGTTGTAGCTCGACAATTGGACATGAATTATTCCACGGTATGGAGAGTTTCACGCCATGCGATTTTACTGGATTTTACCCCTACAAAATCAGCCGCTTGCACGAATTGAAACCAAGTGATTATGATAAGCGAGTGACATTCGCTCTATCGTTTCTTGCCAGGGTAGAAATTGAGGATGCTTTCCCATGGCACATTCTGTGGGGAGATGAGTGCCATTTTTATCTCAATGGGTCCGTAAACACACAAAATAGTCGAATTTGGGCTTCTGAGCAGCCCCACACCGTGCACGAAATCCCATTAAATTCCCCAAAAGTCACTATTTGGTGTGGTTTCACAGCCGAATTCGTAATTGGGTCATTCATTTTTGAGACCATCACCTCGACAGGACTCCAAACGTGCACCATAAATGCAGAAAGGTACCACGAAATGCTGCAAAAGTTTGTTATTCCACAACATCAACAAAGAAACCGTCTCCAACAGACAATCTTTATGCAGGATGGTGCTCCGCCACACATTAGTAATAAGGTAAAGCAGCTGTTGCGCGAAAACGTCACTGATGATCATAAGTGGCAGTTTTACAGTTGCATGACCGCCTCGTTCCCCTAACCTCACGCCATGCGATTTTTGGCTCCGGGGTTATTTGAAATCTCAAGTTTATGTTGGGGGAGTATCAAATTTGTTTTATTCTAAACGACAGCATAACAAAGACAGTGCGGAATATTCCTCGTGATATGTTACATACGGCTGTGGAGAACGTTGTGCACAAAATGCACGGTGTTATTTCTGAGAACGGTGCTCACATTGAATGTGGTCTAATTCCTCACCGGGGAAGTTAATGTAGTAAATGAACATTAATAATTTAACTGTACGATTG